GGGAAGGTCCATAGTTTTTCTTTGATAATGCACCAGAAACCTTCGTCGTTTTGATTGACATTTGAATAGGTTTCTCGATTAATGTCCACTGTTCACTGAGAGGTGATGAGAGATTTGCGGTCTGAAGGTCGACTTGCAGCTATCGTTAGTATTGTATGGGGGACGTCCGTTCTCTTTGGTTCTTCCACGGCTGTGTACCAGGCGTAGGGAAAATTTGGCTTGCAGCATAGTATGGTTCGTGTCCACGGGTGTTGATCAGTAAGGTCCACAGTCTTCAATGGATCCTTGCCATAGGTAGCTGATGGTGATGAGACGGCGCGCAAATCCCTCAAACGCCAGCTCATCAAGAGCCTGAGGAATGACCGCGAGAAGTGGTGGATAGGAAAGTGTAAAGAGATAGAGAAGACTGTGGCAATCCGCAATTGTCGGAATCTTTATCTTTTAATCAGGAGTACAGGACAAAGGAAAATAGGTGTAAATCAGGTAACTAAGGAATCTGATGGCACACTGATTCACCGTCAGCAATGTCGACTTGATCGTTGGGCTAAACATTTCGAGACTCAGTTCAACTGGCCCCCCCCCTCGACATCTGAACTATAATCCTCCACCTCAACTAGGCAAATACTGCCAGTTGATGCCAGTCCTCCGTGTGAAATGGAGGTTTCCCGGGAAATAAGCTACCTAAAAAAGCATAAGGCCTCCAGCCCAGATGCCCATCTGTCCCCATCGGCTTTCGTAGATGGAGGCTCATCCTTAGTTTCGGAGTTAACAAAACTCCTGGGATCAGTGTGGGAGAGGGAACAAGTTCTAGGTAAATGGTGTGAATCGGTCATCACACCGGTTTACAAGAAAGGCGACAGGTCCTCCTGAGGTTGGATCCGGAGAGCAGGTTGATGGTAGAAGTAGGGTCTTGTATGTGCTTCGGAGACTCAGTCTACATCTAAATTGAGAGTCTCAAGGGTTCTAGCTGTGGAACTTTGTTAACCGATCTGATATTGTGTGGACATTAAATGTGGCCAAGTGAAATGAGATTCAGTTCAACTGTCTGATAGGCTATAATTATTTGACCTTAATAGTTGAACGCTTGGTGATATCCCGTGAATGGGGTAAACAGGAGGCATCTGAAAATATTCGGGATTGAAAGGAATGACTAAACAGATTAGAGAGGTTTTTCCAAACGGGTACTTAACACTTAATGGCACCACTTACGGCGCAGTACCTCACACAGACAAAGGGGTTTTTCTTTTGGAATCCTAACCGGAGCCTTTGACTCAAAAGTCTGACCCAGAAGGAAGTGGGGCGTAGACTCAAAGCCAAAACGAGATTTTGGGACGGTGAGTTGTTATAAATTATTAGTATTTTCTATCGCACATCCTTGTATATAGAGTAGCCAGCAGTCAAACCTACTGTTCACTCGTGGGATCTGGCTACCTAAGCCCCGACACCTAAATTGCGAAGCACAAGGCCCTGCTAATGTTTGAGCGGAATATTAAGCCAGACGACGACCCAGCCTTCTACCTTGAAAGTTGTGCGGTAGTGTCAAGCTCAAGCCTCGGACCCAGGCGTCCATAACTCGCTGGCGACAGCGACCACCACCTAATGAAAGGATAATCTCGTTTTACCAGCAGTACTACGATGATACCAAAGTACTTGGTATTGTCCACTTTAGGAACCAAACGACTATTGGTACGCAAATGTTCAGCGAGATAAGACGAACATCAAGGATTTAATATGCTCTCGGAACATTTTGGTAAACCAGGAGTAAGATTTGATCGAATGAAAATCGTTTCGAGTATCAGTTAGATTATCGAATAAAAACAGGAAATCAGGTCGACACAGTCAACAATCATCTGCACATTTGATGAATTTAGCAAGTAGAGAATCACAATCACTTATTTGAGCATCATCATCATCATAGTACAGCGAAATACAGGGAAATGAACTTCACTGATCACTGCCAAACTCGCAATGCATATGCATTGGAGTTTGATGGACGGCTACTGCTAGGGTGTCTAGCAATAGTTTCCACGGCCCGTTTTATCCTGTCGTAGGTTGTTAATTGCTGGAGAAATGAAACTGCCAAGCTTTCATGAATCAAGATTTAGCACCAATTGTTGAAAGTAAATTAACAAACATTCTCTCAGTGAAGCCATTGTTGATTTAAGAAGAGTATCAAAATCAAGGCTTTCGGGCTGAAGCTTGATTAATTTGTTGCTTGCTGATACGGTTCTGATTTCAGTGGGAACAGTAAACTGGTCAGTCTTCCTACTAGGGTAGTACAAGGTCTGAACTAGATGTAAGGTTTATTAATAAGTGTAACAAAACCTGTGGCACAATTTAGTTCACAGCCGTGATCAATAGTATACTGTGTGGTGAATGTTCAATTAGGCACCATTTAGTTGATCCTGTCTTTGAAGGTAAAAGGTCTTTTGGTGGTCTTGAGGAATACATTCGGCAAAAGAGCACTAGAATTTTGAAATGTGAAGACAGAAAAGGGATTAAAATGATCGTTTCTTGGAATTTTGGATAAGCGAGAACGCATCAAGGGGGTGTGTGAGTCATCGATAGGAGCTCTGAAGAACAGTCGAAATTGCTAACGCTGGGAAAAGTATAGTTAAGCGATTCGGGTTTTGATGTTTCAATAGGTGACAGTAAGTTGTCAACAGCTTATTAGCTAAGGCACAAACTTCTGTTAAAAAGTTGGCGATGTTTTCTCCATGGTGAAGGGAGTTTGAAGATGGTAGCGAAATAAGGTTGAAGTAAGAGATTGGAGGAAGCCAACAGAAAGGGACGTAAACTGCAATACAGAAAAGTTATAACTGCCAATAATAACAAACAATTATAACAACTTGAGGAAACTGGTGCAAGGAAAAGATCATCCATGAAACGGCCCTGGCCCATCTGTTTTCTTACACGTAAGGCAGTTACAAACAACACAAGTAAGACCACAAAATAAATTTGCCACGTTGCTTTATCCGTTCAAATACTTGAGAAACGAGTGCATCAATATAGTGTTTCAGGCTATGCAAAATTAACGCTTCCTGTAAACTATCGTTCTCCATCAGCACGTAGACGATTGACATTTCAGCCGTGGTCCGGTTTCTTCTTTCTGCACGTTCTAGCTGGCACCTAGACGACTGTGATATTTCCGCTCCAAAGTAACAGTTAACTGATGTTCCACAACCTGCAATCGAGATCTATTCGATAGTGATTTATTTTTTTCCTCCGATGGTTTGCACATACCTACGGTTTACGGACTAGCAAAAGGTCAATGATTGTTCTCTTTGATAGGAAATATTACGTTTTTCACCGTCCCAATCCGCTAGATGTGCAAATAACTGATTTATATGCGCAATTTACGTTATGCCACATGTTCCGCCACCAATTGGTCCTCATCTTTTTTTTGAGTTGTTAGCAAAGTTAAACTCTTTCATTTTCATGTCTAAAAAGGCATGAAAAAATTACGAAGAATTTGTACCACTGAATTTCCGTCCGTAGTTTTGTGTCATAATGTTCGCTTTAAGATGTTTGTTCACTTTTTTCGAAATTCATCTCCAATCTGCACTGTGCTTTTTTCTTTGTAGGCTTGTATGTCATGGAAGACAATCCGCAACTCGATCTGGTCCAAGATCGCATTGGTCGGCGGGGTAACGACAGTGGGAGTAATAGGATTCGCCACGCCGGTTTTCGCTTCGGAAATGCAGGCACACGCACCAGCTCTGCCCTGGAGCCATCACGGAGTGCTTTCGGCGTTCGACCATCACTCTGTTCGCCGTGGTTACCAGGTGTATAAAGAAGTGTGCGCAGCCTGCCACAGTATGAAATACCTGTGCTATCGTCATTTAGTCAATGCAGTCCTCACCGAAGATGAGGCGAAGGCAGATGCGGCAGAGGTATGTATGAAAATTTCAGTACATGGTTTACTTCTTTTGTATTCCATTTTCGCACAGTTAAACGTTGGAGCGTGCATTGTACGATCGTAATTGTGATAATAGTTATTCGGATTAAGTATGTATGTAGCCTGCCTAAAACGCGTTTATTGACAGAAGCTCCAAGCCTAGTCATGCTCGATTAGTCCCACCTAGTCCACGCGGCGTATAAGAGCAGCGCGATGAAAGAGGTACTTAGCTGCATAAAACGTTTTGTTGATGGCATTTGATAGCCTTGTATGCACAATCTCTGTCAGGGTGTCGCCTTTAAATGGTGAAGCAATGTGTACAGACTTCCTAGCAATGACCTTCTTGGGAAACACCTTGTGGTTGCATCACAGATTCCATCAAGCGCTTCGGGTATCCATTCTGGATGAAGGTGTTCCGCACATTTTGGAGTTCTTCAACCAGCGTACCCTCCGTGCAGATTCTTCTAGCTCTGTTGGCCAAATTGAGTATGAGGTTCTTAATGCTGAGTGGTATAGAGCCACGGAATTGAATGTACTGCTCGTTCCACGTCACCTCCTTTGTATCGACAGTCTGATGGACCCGTCATCACAACGAGTTAGGCAAACATCTAAATATGCTAATTGGTTGTTTGCTTCATTTTCAATCGTGCATTTCAAATTCCGAGACACAGCATTGAAATAGTTTAGCAGATGTTTGCAGTTGTAAAATCAAGCACACGAAATGTCGTCTGCGTAACGCTGCTACAGTACGCATCGTTCGATGTGTTTTGATCGGATCGTTTCCTATTTTAGACATAAAACCATAGGCAAACAAGGGCCCTAGCGGGGACCCCATTGTTACACCGTCCTTATGGCGATAGATTCCCCCACTGAGCTTGAATGGCACATTGTGTGTGCAGAAGAATAACAGGTTTTTATTTCATTTGTCGATAGGCCTTCGTTAATCCCGTTGCTTTTGATATAGGTACATAGATAATCAATCGTTTCCCCGATCGGAACGTTCACTAAGAGAGATGTGATATCTAGCGAAAATATGTGGCGATCTTCGATATTTAGGTCATTCAAAGTGCCAGTGAAACCAATTAAATACTTTAGCCTATGCTGAGTTGACTTCACTCACCGGTTCCAGAACACGAGCCAACCATTTGACTATCACATGGTAAGGAAAGTTGCACATATCCAGGATTGGCCGCATGGTGAATCCACTCTCATATACTTTGGGCAGCGTAGAGTTTTAGGCAGTCGCGGTTGTCCACTGGAGCAGGTAGTCGACCTCCATAGACCTCGTTGTGTTGTGTGTTATATATTGCGCATGTCACCAGATAGGTTGCCACGGCGAGCGATATTTGCCGAGGCAGGGGGTAGTTGGATAAAGGTCAAGGGTGGTCAAACGAAGACCTGGCATAAGGGTATGAGAATCCTAACCAGGAGACTGGGTACTCCGAGATAATGGTCACCGATGTGGCTGGGTGTCGCAAACAGTGATGCTCATTATTCTCTTAACACCATTCTATATGAATTCTCTATCTTCTACTTCAATTGGCTTTCAACATTCCAATCTTCATCCTTCTCTTTTTATCCAAGTGGGCGGCCAAAAGACGGCAACCCAAGCCGGGGCACGAAAGTGCATGGTTAGTGGTCGTCAAAATTGAAACTGAACTTTGGGCAGCTCATACAACCGTGGAATGGTAGTCCCTGTTAGGCGAACCCGTTCAAACGTAGCGTAGAGTTTTCGTGATGTGGTAGAAAGAGCCTTAACAAAATATTGAAAATCGGTTCTCGTAGCTCGGGTGAACTGCTTGTGAAGTGGCCACTTTACAAGCACTGATGGTGTCACCTCGGATGGTGATGAAACGTTTGCAAACAAATTGCCAAGCTCGGCGAACAGGCGAAATGAAAGAAAGAGCCTTCTCTATTTGTAGTGTCGTGTCATTTTCGAGGGTCATTTTTGTGAACTTGGATTCATCATTCAGAATTGTCGCTACCTTCCTGACGTACTCTGATGTGAGATGATACGTGATCCCTTGTCGCGTTTCGTTATGATAACTTTGTAACTTTCTTAGTTTGTTGTTCCGTTATTAATCCGTTAGTCGATAATTTGGCACTGATATTGATAACGTGTTCACCAGAGTAGACTTGAGCTGTTCCGGTTCCAACCGAGATGAGGGACACAAGTTCGATAACTGAGCGCAAAGATTTTCAAGCACGACCTCCGTATCCCATTGCTTGAATTTGTTCCTCGAACAGCAGAACTTTGACCCTTAGGATAATACTTCTGCGAACGTTTTGTCTAGATTTATATCAGAAGAGTTGTGAACGAATCTATTTGGATTCCTTGGGACCTCATTTGATACTGGCAAATCTGAAAAATGTCTGTTGTATGCGGCATGACAAAGAAATGGAGAGAATTAGGTGGCCATGCTATTGTTCAGACGCACGATCTCAGAGGCCACATGCTGGCGATGCACCCCACTTGATGATCAAAATCGGGCAGGGATTGGCGAGTTTCGCTTTAATCTAATAATGTTGCTGGTGATGGAATATAACTTTTCAGTTTTCTTCATTTATACCAAAGCTGAAAAATAACGGCATTGACGGGGTCATCTGCTCTTGGATAGCTTTATGATCCTGTTGTTAATGGCTGTACGACCTATATCAAACCACACCCACCTAAGCTGGTTCAGAGGATGTACCTGTTTTACTGTGCCTCACAGTTATTGTGTAAGAAAAGGAATATTCTGTGACACTTGCAAAAGTTGGTGACATTCTGAACCATGGGTTCTTACTCAAATTCGACATCTAGGTAACCGAGCGTTTTTCTAAAAAAGATATGCCTTTGTCGGAAGAAATCATGTTTCTTCATAATTACGCTACACCACGTGACCTTCGACGCCATTCATTTGTTTTCATTATAGGATGTACATTCGTCTGTCTGTTTTCCCACTAGATGCAAGTTTTGGACGGTCCGGATGACAACGGAAAGATGTATGAACGACCCGGGCGTTTAACGGACACCCTGCCTTCTCCCTATCCGAACACGGAAGCAGCTCGTGCAGCCAACAACGGTGCAGCTCCACCTGATCTGACCTATATAGTGAAGGCGCGCCACGGGAATGAGGATTATATCTTCCACTTAATTACAGGTATTCGGTTTGAAGGTTTATCCGTATTCACCTCACCTTTGTCCGACAGCTGCATGTGCAGCTGAACATCTATCATTTTTCATAGACTGCCACCCATTGCGAGTATGAATGTGATCGATATCAGCGACATTGATTTTTGCACAACGTAGAAACTGTCTTTGATTACCGCACAGTGATTACCATTGAGCGCGAAAAGGTTCTGGATTATACACGTTGAATAACCGCAGTCTGCACACATGAAATATTCCTTCGTAGAAACTTTCCGCGCTTCGCACTGTACAACCTGTCACGAACCGTATCGGACAATATAGTATAATACTACAATCCAGTTTAACTGTCTCTACAAACAGGTTGACCACTTTGTCTTCCCAACGTACTGCGATGAGTAGGCTCGAGCCGCACTCGGGACGAAAATCCGGAAGGAAGAGTCCACTTCGAAAATTAAAAGGCCCCGATAGCCGCGTGGTTTGGCTTCATCCATTTTCAAGAGGGGTCGTTAAACTTGTAGCGCTGCTAGCTTATTTGTTTGTGAAAATAAACGAACTCCTAGTGATGTGATTGCATTACTTCAGCAGTGAAAACCACAGAGCAATCGGTACCTCGTCGAAGATCCTCTTTAGGATTAATCTTCGTGGAGCTGCCGCACCAGATAGGTAACGGTAAAACCGTTTTAGACTTAGTTCAGACGCCTGACGTCTGACGCCATTGCGTGATGAACAACAGAAGTGGTAGAAGTCTGAGTAGAGGACGTATTGTTCACTTAAAATAACTAGTCATCCGTGAAACTTTGAGTGACCAACCGCATAGTGCCTCAACTGGCTAAGCATATCATTGAGCCGTATGGTATCGAAACGACCTACCTTCAGAGTTGAATGGTGTTAATTGACTTAGTACTTTGGCCGTGTGGCTCACAACACTATTGACTGCGAGTCCATATCGCTTGATTAATATCGCCTCCGCTCCATCCTGTACTGTCTACTCTAAGCTCTCACGATTTAATTTTTAACTTATCGTCCATCATTTTTTTAAATTACACGCCGATGTTAGATAGACCTCAGACAGGGTGGAACTCCATAGTCACGAGGATCAGCTGTTCAGTGATCGTAACCGGCAAGATAAACCCCGGGACTTTGAGTGGCAAGCCACATAAGGCCCCGCTAGGTCATATTGACTGCCAACATGATATATATTTTTCAGATCTGTTTTAATCACATTTTTCATTCTGTTGCTCTCTATTTGATGCTTGTCTTCAACTCATTTTAGAATCTACTGATTAAGACCTGATGTATTCAATGCGAATGCACTAAATATCCCTCGGATGTCCCCTTAGATTCCGCGAGTTAGTGCTCAGAATGGAGTTGGGACAAGGAAATAATGTTCTCTGTTTTCACCTCTACACTGCTGCCAGCATTTCAACCTTCCCCTTACTCCAGCATCCAAACGTGTATCCCGACTGCGACAAGCAAATCGCCGCACAAGGGTGCATAAATAAAAGTTAAATGGGTTGAGAGACTGAACTGAAATCTAGTCCGCATTCGAATAACAATCAGCAACCGATTGCTTATGGACTGACTCCTCATATAAATGTTAACTTGTTTATTTGAGGCATTCACACCAGTTTTCGGTTTAATTATTGTATTGTTTTCTTCCATGCATTTTACTCACAAAAATGAAGCAATGAAACTGCCAAGATCTGACGCATGTGGTGTGATAAATCGATCATTGTGCGAGCCAACAGGTCTTATGTGAACGGTATTTCGTGGTAACCTGACAGCAGACAGCTTGACACAATGTAACGCACTTTACCATCGCTACAGCACTACAGCTTGACTGTCCTAGTTGTGTCTGCACTAGAGTGTGAACATCGTTGCTATTGTTTCCAATTCCGGCCAGTAACAAAACTCCTCTTGCTCACCCGCGACTGCTACCCGGGCTTTTGAGGACGCTCAACGTGTGAGAAGGGACTACCTGAGTTCACACGGTTTATCGCGATGCTAACAACACGATTTTGTTCCAAATGGTCTTCCCATTGCTGATATTTTTCTGATCCATTTGTTCTGCACTGTCCCGGTCCCATGCCCTCTCATGAACACTCTTTTTCCGACTCAGGTTCAAGGCACGCATTTGCACTGAAAATTCGATTAACACAGACACGCACACCGAAAATCCTGTTCAAGCTTGTTTGTTTGATTTCATTTTGTCATGTGGACTACGTTAATACCTTGACACTGCGAACAGGCAACCGCCATGTTTGCATGACAAGGCTACATACATCCTATTAATTTTTTCACTGCCATCGTTACTGGATTGGTTTAACTATTGTTGCAGTAGGTTTTATTATATTACCTGCTAAATCTCCAATGTCACTCCATTGTTAAGAAAACCACAATAAGCTCCAACCTTCTATTCCCGTTATGTTGTCAAGGCTATTGTGACGCTCCACCAGGACGTGTGGTAAATGAGCCACAATACTACAACCCGTATTTCCCCGGTGGTGCTATCAGTATGGCTCGAGTGTTGTACGATGACCTCATCGAGTACAAGGATGGAACCCCAGCCACAGCCAGTCAAATGGCCAAAGACGTCGTGACATTTCTGTCCTGGACCGCCGATCGGAATCACGATCAACGAAAGCGATTCCTGTTCAAGGTACGTGCTTCTGTTAACGATTGTGTCATACTCGTTAGTGCTGCTTCTACTCACTGGTTGTTGTACGCTGTGCGCTCGTTCGCTGATTTATTCCAATGTTTTTGTTGATTTCTTTCGGTGCACCACTTGCTTCAGAAAGTAATTAAGCATGTCGGTCGGTCACTTCTAACAGTGATTGTTAGAAATTTAGAGAGTAAAGAATATTTTCGAATGATGGTTCTGTCTGCAACTTTCTCCTCTCACCTCCATCAAAACGGGTTCAGTTCAGTTTTTACAACCATTAACCATGCACTTTTGTGCACTGGTTTTGGTTGCTGTCTCTTGGTTACCCTGTTGGATAAAATAGCAGAATGAACATCGGAATTTCGAAAGCCAACTCAAGCGGAATATGGAGAATTCGTATGGAGTGGTGTTAGGAGAATAATGAGTGGATGCACAAGCACCACTGTTTGCGACTCTCAGCCACATTGCTCAGTGTCTCCAACCATCGGTGACCATGATCTCGGGGTCCCCAGCCAGGGAGCCTAACGGGGCTTATATGACCTAGTCTCCTGGTTAGGGTTTTCATACCCTCATGCCAAGTCTTAGTTTGATCACTCTTTATCTTTTTCCAATCGCTACCAGCCTTGGCAAACATCGTTCGCCGCGGCAACCTATCTGGCGACATAAGTAACACATGTCCCAACTACGGAATCTATGGAGGTCGATCACTTGCTCTAGTGGACGACTGCGACTGCCTAAAACTCTACGCCTAACCTCAGCATTGCAAGTGCAATGCTACGTAGACAGCGGTGTTCGAACACCGAAAATCTATTTTTATCCTGTTCACGTAAAGGTCAAGCCTCTGCGCCGTAGAGCAGGACTGGCCGAACTGCTGCAGTATACACTCGACCCTTCACAGACAGCCTGCTGTCGCAACGCGCCGCAAATGTCTCAAGTTGGCAAATGCCAATCGAGCCTTTTGTATGCGCGCCGACACTTCAACTGTGATGCGTCCGCCGGGTGAGATATAGCTACCCAGATAGCTACTCCACTACTATCCCAGTTAGGGTGAGACGGTGCTGAATCAACCCAATCTTGTAGTAGCATTTTACACGTTGAAGGTGCAAAACGCATACCGAACATGGCAACAC